GCCCTGAGTCCCCTTTGGGGGAAAAGGGCGGCATATAAGTGCAATAAATTCAATTCAATTCAATGATGATGTATTCCTCCTCCCCCTCCCCAGCTCTGTTGAGAATGGGGTTGTGCTTGTCTTCTGCAGAGGTTTTGGGCCTGATCATGAGAAAGAGAAGTAGCCATGGTGGCGAATATTTGTAACTGGGGTGTAGGATGAGGGTGAAGGTTCGTTCTCCAAGCTTGTGGGTTGGATTCCAAACATTTCATCACCAGGCTAGGTGACATCTTCAGCAGAGTTTAAGGTAAAGGTTCCCCTCGCACATATGTGGTAGTCGTTCCCAACTCTAGGGGGCAGTGCTCATCTCTGTTTCAAAACCAAAGAGCCAGCGCTGTCCAAAGACGTCTCCGTCTGTTATATGAGCTTCTCTTTTCTCCACCCTAATAAAACTCCTGCGAGTCCCCTGGACTGCAAGGCCATCCAACCGGTCAATCCTAGAGGAGATCAATCCTGACTGCTCTTTAGAAGGCCAGATCCTGAAGGTGAAACTCAAGTACTTTGGCCACCTAATGAGAAGGAAGAAGGACTCCCTGAAGGAGAGCCTCATGCTGAGAACGATTGAGAGCAAAAGAAGAAGGGGACGATAGAGAAGCAGGTGGCTGGATGGAGTCGCTGAAGCAGTCAGTATGAACTTAAATAGACTCCAGAGGATGGTAGAGGACAGGAAGGCCTGGAGGAATGTTGTCCATGGGGTCGCGATGGGTCAGACACAACTTCGCAACTAACAACAAAAATAAAATAAATGTTTGGTTGTTAAAGACTACTAGGGAGTTCACTTCGGTACTCAGCCTGTAAATATATTAAAATCGACTTTCTTTCTGGGCATATACAGCTTTTGGGTATGCATCAGTTACTTACGGATTTGACCTTTTTTCTTTCTTGGTGACTTTTTCCAGGATGGTCAATTTTTGTCCACAATGCGGACAGAAAGTCGAGGAAATGTTTCACTTCTGTCCGGCTTGCGGAGGCCGGCTTCCGGTTCTAGAAGACGAGCCAATGCAGATCACGCCATCTCCTTCTCTGAAAGGTGTGTGTGAAATTTTATTAATTGAAGGCGGATTAGTCCTTGATTAGTTCCCACCCATTGCTTCTTGTCCTGCCTTCTGGTGTTTTGGAGAATAGCTTGATCCCTCTTCTTTGTGGGAGCTCGTCAGATATTGGAACACTGCTGTCGTATCACCCCTGGTCCATCTTTTCATTTTACATTTACATGTATTTACAGTTTGTTTATTGACAGTTGTCATGCAGTTGTAACCTAGCCAGTGGGTTACTGTTGTCCTCAGCTGTTTGGATCTGGATTTTGCTCCGTTTTACAACATTAAATGACTGTTAAACTTAATGACTGCAGTGGTTCACTTAGAATAGAATAAGAGTTGGAAGGGACCTTGGAGGTCTTCTAGTCCAACCCCCTGCTTAGGCAGGAAACCCTACACCACTTCAGACAAATGGTTATCCGATCTCTTCTTAGAAACTTCCAGTGTTGGAGTATTCACAACTTCTGGAGGAAAGTTGTTCCACCAATTAATGAGCCAAGGTGGCGCAGTGGTTAAATGCAGCACTGCAGGCTACTGCTAGATCAGCAGTTCAGCGGTTCAAATCTCACCGGCTCAGGGTTGNAGACTGGGAATTCTAGTCCTGTTTTACACATGAAAACTACTGGGTAACTTTAGGCCAATCACAAGGAGACAGAGTTCTAGTCCTGTCTTAGGCATCAAAGCTAATTGGGTTTAGGCCAATAATGAGGAGACTGGGAATTCTAGTCCTGTTTTACACATGAAAACTAGCTGGGTAACTTTAGGCCAATCACGAGGAGACTGGGAGTTCTAGTCCTGTCTTAGGCATGAAGGCTAGCTGGGTGACTTTAGCCCAGTCCTCCTCTCTTATCCCAACCCACCTCACAGGGTTGTTGGGAGGAAAAGAGGAAGGTATGGTAACTACGTTCGCCTCCTTGAGTTATTTGTAAAAATAATAAAGGTGGGATACACACACACACACACGTCTGTGTGTGTCTGTGTCTGTCTTTGTCCAAGAACTTCAGTGCTACCTGTTATCTTTCTCTTCTCAGGATGCCAAAGAGGGAAAGCTGTTTAACGAACAGAACTTTCTCCAGCGAGCTGCCAAGAAAGTCACAGGTGAAAAACGTTGGGGGACTCCGGCACCCCTTTATAAGTGGGTCTCGGGGACATGAACACAGGACACCATCCTCAAACCTCTCTTGGCCCACTGTGAAATCTCTTGTTGTTCTGCTTCCAATGTGGGGCAGTTTGGGGGGAAGGGGGGGTGCATGTTAGCACAAGCTGTGCTTTCTTTGGTTGCACTGTCCCGTTTGATCTCTCCTTGCAGTGGAGAAATGGAAGAAGCAATACTTAAAGCCGCTCCTGGGGATACCAGAATGTGTTGGTTTTGGCCTCCATGAGACTAGCTACAGGTGAGTCCCAATGAGAAGAGAGTTTGATCTCTGTTCTTCTCCCGTCCCACAACGGGAGATCTTCCACTTTTGGGCGCATGACTAAAGCCATTCTTCAGAATGGAGAAGAGCCACCGTGGCGCAGTGGTTAGAGTGCAGCACTGCAGGAAACTTCTGCTGTCTGCCGGCTGCCTGCAATTTGGCAGTTCGAATCTCACCAGGCTCAAGGTTGACTCTGCCTTCCATCCTTCCGAGGTGGATAAAATCGGGACCCAGATTGTTGGGGGCAAGAGGCTGACTCTGTAAACCGCTTAAAGCGGCTGTGAAGTGGTATATAAGGCTAATTGCTAGTGCTATTCTTCTGTTGCCATCCTTTGCATGGCCTGTGATTTGAATAGATAAATCCAAGTTGATCTTCAACAGTTTCATTCTGTATTTAGCAAAAGTTTGGCTATTGCTTTTGGGCAATAGCAATAGCACTTATATGCTGCTTTACAGCCTTTACAGCATGCCAGAGCACCGAAAACCGAGGACCAGACAGCCGACCTGCGCATGCCTGGTTTTTTGCCTAATTTTGGCCATTTCAGGGCATTTTGGAGGGCGCTTTTCAGGCTGTTTTTCTGCCTGTGTTTGACCCGGAAAACTGCCCAAAAAGCAACCTGTTTGGGGGGCATTTTTGAGCCGTTTTCTGGCACCTGTGAAGACCAACTGGCTGGCACATGCCAGAAACCAGAAGAGCAGCTGGCAATGGCGCATGTGCCCACAGAGAGGGCTCTGCATGCCACCTCTGGCACATATGCCATTGGTGCGCCATCACGGACCTATAGACAGAAATCTCACCCCGCCAAAACATCTATTTGCAGCACCAAACATTCTCCGAGAATCGCTAGGGAGGAGACTTCTTAATGCTCTTTCTCCCACCAAACTATCTAAGCTTCACCGCCTCTGATTGCGAGAAGGCAGCCCCCCCCCCTCCCCTGGGAATCCAGGCTGCATTCCGCCACACTCGCTCCCCTCATTCCTGGTGGTTTTTAAACCAGCAGATGACCAAGAGTAAGATGCACACTGTGGTGGGCAACCCAATTCACGCGCAGTGCCACCTCCTTTGATTGGCAGGTTCCTGGTCTTTCCCGAATTGGGTCGATCTCTTCAGTCAATCCTGGATGACAACAAAAACAAGATGACGGAGAAAGCTGTTTTGCAGCTTGCAGTCAGGCTGGTATGGAATGCTAGAAAGCCACGGGGTGGGGAAGGGATTTCTCTAATGGGCAGAAGGGGTGGCCTTGGGAATTTGCATTGCTGACCCTTCCTGTTCTCTGTCTTTCTCTTTGCCTCTAGCTCGATGTCCTGGAGTACCTTCATGAAAATGAGTATACTCATGGGGATCTGGCTGCTGAAAACATATATGTGAATCCAGCTGATCTTACTGTGGTAAGGCAAGGAGCAGGGGTCTTTTAAGACAACTCATCACGGCCAACGTGCCACGGGACAAACATTACATACTATCAAAGAAACAATGAAGTAGAATAATTAAAGGAAGAATGTAGAGGGGCGAGACAAAATGAAATGTGAATGACAAAATTAAAGTCATTTTTAAATAATTACATAAAATGGTTGAATTGGGCTGCTGAGTTTCCCTGGGGTGAATTGGCTGCAGGGAATTTCCCCTGGTGAGTTGGCCACGGCATGTTGCCCTGGCGCATTTGGCAGTGGTGAGTTGGCCCATTCCAAGGAGCAGACGCGGTGGCTCAGTGGCTAAGACGCTGAGCTTGTCAATCAGAAAGGTGGACAGTTCCGCGGTTCGAATCCCTAGCGCTGAGTAACGGAGTGAGCTCCCGTGACTTGTCCCAGCTTCTGCCAACCAAGCAGTTTGAAAGCATGTAAAAAATGCAAGTCGAAAAAATAGGGGCCATCTTTGGTGGGAAGGTAACAGCATTTTGTGTGCTTCCGGCGTTTAGTCATGCCGGCCACATGACCACAGAGACGTCTTCGCACAGTGCTGGCTCTTCGGCTTTGAAACAGAGATGAGCACCGCCCCCTAGAGTCGGGAACGACTAGCATATATGTACAAGGGGAACCTTTACCTTTAAGGAGCAGAGAACCAGACAGGGCCTCTAATGAGGTTGTACAGGCCTCAAATCCAGCAAAAGTGCTGGCAGAGTCAGCATTCGGAAGTGAAAATGCAAAAAAAAGCTAGCCATTTTCCGGAGGAAAAAAAAACACTTAACGACTGCAATGGTGAACGCTTGGATTACGGTTATTGAGAAAAGCGGTCACATGGGCACTCACTTAAAGACCACAATGACTTAAAATCATAGTTCGGGGCTCGGTTGGGGTCCTAACCGTAGAGAACTTTGAAGAAAAGCTGCCATTCAAAAGCCGCTTTGCTCAAAAGAGGGTGAGGAAAAAACTCACCCTCTTGACTCTTTTTGGGGTGAGGGATGGAGAAAGACTGACTGTCAAGCTTTTAAGACTCTCGTTATAAATTTTAACAATGGAGTGTTAGTATTTGTTGTGTTGTCCACTACTCACTTAACAATGGTCTCACGGCAACAGAAATTTGGGGGTCGGTTTTGGTCGTAAGTCATATCTGTAGCTTTTTTTGAGGATCTTCTGCTCTTCTCTATTTTTATTTTTATTTTATTGATTTTCTATTAAACACATTTCTTAGTGCTTAATAAACATTGCGCTGTCTGGGTATATAATTTGCTTAACAATACATATTACATTCTTAATCTCCAGCCCTTTTTTCCAACCACTGGTAAAATAAATTCCACATTTGATAATATTCTGCATCCTCTTTCTGTTTAATTCTCAATTTCAATCTATCCATTTCTGCACAATCTAGTATCTTTTTGACTATTTCTTCATCTTGTGGTATATCTTCATTTTTCCAATATTGTGCAAAAACAATCCTCGCTGCTGTTAAGGCATGTAATGTTAAATACATACCATATTTTTGGAGTATAAGACGCACCTTCCCCCCCCCAAAAAAGAGGATGAAAATCTGGGTGCGTTTTATACACTGAATACAGCACTTTTGGCCTACCGAAATCCCACCCCCTTTGCAAAAATGGACATGCAGAGGGTTTGGGAGGCTTGCAAAGTGCTCCTAAAGGCTGGGGAGGGCAAAAGCGAGCAAAAAACGGGCCATTTTTGCTCATTCCCCCAGCCACAGGAGCACTCTACAAGTCTCCCAAAGCCTCTGCATGTTCTTTTTTTGGGGGGGGGGAACGAGGCGTGCAGAGAGTTTGGGAGGCCTGCAGAGTGTAAAACCTTTTTTTTTTAAATTTACCTCTTCAAAATCGTGGTGCGTCTTATACTCCGGTGCGTCTTACAGTCCAAAAAATATGGTACTTTTCTTACCAGATTTTCCTTGATATTATACCTAAAGAACAATTCAGGCTTAATATCTACATGTTTTCCTATCATCTTTTCTAACCATCTGTGTATCTTTTGCCCAGTGGTGGGTTTCAAAAAATTTTCGAACCTCTGTGGGTGTGGCCTCCTTTGTGGGAGTGGCTTGCTGGCCATGTGACCTGGTGGGAGTGGCTTGCCGGCCATGTGTTCTCTCTCTCTCTCTTTCTCTCTCTCTCTCTCCTTCCTTTTGTCTCTCTGTCCCTTTTTTCTTTTTTTCTTTCATTTCTCTCTCACTTTTTCTTTCTTTTTTTATTTCTTTATTTCTCTTTCTCGGNAGGTCATGTGACTGGGTGGGCGTGTGTAGGTCATGTGACGGGGTGAAAATGCAGAAACTCTCAAACTATCCTGCTGGAGCGGGGGTTGGGCTAGATGACCTCCAGGTACCTTCCAGCCCGGGATTGCTGTGCTCTTTCAAGGTATCCTCTGAAGCTGCGTCTAGTGCCAGGTTTATGGTCCTTCCTCCCTCTCCTTTTTCCCTCCCTCCCTCCCTCTCTCCTTCCTTCCTTCCTTCCTTTCTTTCATAGCAAACCTCCCCCACTTGTTTTTGGCCTAGCACGCCTCAGAGAAGCATCCTGGGACCAAAAATGGACCCCAAATGCTAAGAAAAAGTTTAAAAAAAAGTTCTTACCATCGCACAGCACAGCTGATTGTCGGAATTTTTTTTTTTACTTTGTTAAGCATTTTTTATTACCAGTTCGGGCGAACCGGCCCGAACCGGTAGGATTTCACCCCTGAACAGCGCCTTCTTCTGTCTTGCTCAGAATTAAACCAGGGCGTCCCGGTTGAGCTGCTGCCGTTGCCTGACAAGAAAAAGGTGCAGATAATTTTTCCGAAAAAGGAAATGTCTTCCACCTCTCTTAAAGCTTCTCCCCAGAGCTCAACGACAACCTTTTCTCCAAAGGCAAAAGGTAAGGATTTATGGACGTGCTCAGGATTAGCGATGCAGAGAATGTGATTGTTCAACCTAATAGCGGTGGTCATAAAAATGGAGGGGGGGGGGAGGAAATCACTTAACCAATGTCTCACGTAGCAACCTAAACGTTGGGCTTCATTGTGGTCATAACTCGAGTGCTCCGGTGGCCTAGAGGTGGAGGTCTCGCCTCACAATCAGGAGGCTGTGAGTTCAACCCTAGGTAGCGGCAGATATTTCTCTCTCTGGGCACAATGAGAATATATCTGCCGAATATAACTCTGCATTGGCAACAGGAAGGGCATCTGGCCAGTAAGCACTCAGCTCCATTCAGTTGCCCAGATTCGAACCTGCTAAGGGATTTGGGGGGGGGGGGGGG